ACCGTGTACGCCCTAGTCACTCTTTCAGTGGTAGCGGAGCAGTGATCCTGGAAGACCCAGGTGAGCTCCTTTCCTAGGCATAGAATTGCTTGTGGGCAAACGGCCATGGATTGGATTGACGACTGGGAAGAGCCTGATGCGGATGTGGCTTATGAGCCAGCAGCCTACGTGAATAGGCATGTGAGAAGAGAACCAGCAGCAATAGCAATGACAACACAGGTCACTACAAAGGTGCCCCCATCTTATGATGGAAAGACTTCATGGTTTTCCTATGAGGATGCCATAGACGATTGGTGTGATATCACCGAGCTGGAAGATGAGAAGAGAGGACCAGCATTGAGAAACAGATTAGAAGGAGAAGCAGCTGTATACAAGCGTCTTTTAGACAGAGATGCATTGAAGGCAAATGATCCACCAGGAGCCGGCGTAGAATATTTCAAACGAGTACTACGACCATATTTCGTGAAAGGATCAACCAATGTATTCCTGTATAGGTTCATGCAATTCGTGCGCTTCAATCGAGGATCAGCTGACATGATGAAATGGATGACAAGATTCCAGATTTTACTCCAAAGGCTTATGAGCAGTTGGATGGACATGTTAGAACCAGTCACTCAAGCACATCCACAAGTCCTAGCTCAGATGCAGGCAGATGCAGCGTTGACTGGAGTAGCACCAACGGCAGAAAGGATTCAGGAAATCATGCAGAATGTCAATGGCAATATGAGAATTCTTCATCAGAATGATTTTCCTTTAGGAGAGAATCTCATTGCCCTACTCATGCTGTCCCTTGCAGATTTGTCTCAGGACCAGCGAAACACTTTGACTTCATTGATGACTCATCGTGGCAGGGTCCTGCAGCAGTATACTACAACAGAGTTGAGGACAGTGTTCATCAAGATGTTCTGCACGACAAAGACTTCAGTAGACAATCCTTTGATGCAGCCGACAGGTGCTGGAGGTAGAAGATCATTTCTCGTACTAGACGAAGGAGAACTCGATGGTACATTTGGCTATTGGGCCGAAGATGAAGAAGATGGAACAGAAGGATTTTTAGATGCCCTGGACGATGTCTTTTGGGTATATGATGATCAAAACTTCTCGTGGTTCCAAAGGAGATTCCAAGGAAGAAGAGCCAGAAAAGGCAAAGGAAAAGGAAGAAGAAAAGGAAAAGGAAAAGGAAGATCAGGCCGCAGATTCTTCAGACCTCGTGGAAAAGGAAAAGGAAAGAGACGAGGTAAAGGCCATTTTGCTGATGAGCAACAGACAACATATCCAGAAGAGTACTTTGAAGAGAATCCTTATGAGGACACTTGGGAGTCAAACCAAGTAGCATATGATGCCATTCTTGCCGAGGATATGAATGACTATCTTCAAGGAGAATATGATGATGCCAATGACTTTTGGCAACAGCTTGAAGAAGCATGGTTTTCCCACAAGGGAAAAGGAAAAGGCAAGAGAAAAGGCAAGAAAGGAAAAGGAAAAGATAAAGGAGATGGCAAACAAGATGCAAACTATGCAAATCCACAACAGCCACGTTCTTTACCTGCACCTTCAAGAACTTCACAAGCATCAGGAGGTCAACAAGGTTTCTTTGCACATTGTGTGACAGCAGCAGCTGAAGTCCATGACAGTGAGGTGGACTTGCTGTCAGGCATGATGACCTCATGTCAAGATGAAGCTGACTGCGCGGTCAACAATGGTGAGACGATCTTCAATGGCATGGGTGCCCCTGTGAGGTACTCTTTGTCAAAGGAGATGCTCACAAAGGCTCCTGATGGCTTTGCGCTTATGAGCGCTGAGGAAGAAGTGAAGGAGATGCAGGCCATTTCATTTTTGACTGAGAATCGCTTCCCGCCGACTATTGCAATCCTGGACATTGGATGCACTAGAGCTATGGGATCAGGGCGAGCAGTCGACCATTTTTGCAACTATGTCGACAATCACCCAGATTGTGGATTATGGTACTCCTTTGAGGCTACCAAGAGCAAGTTTTACTTTGCCAATTCCCAGAAGGCTACTTGCTCTCAGAAACTGGTGATTTACATGTATGATCGTGCATGGACGATCCACCATACAGAGTTCGACATAGTGGAAGAAGGAGAAGTCCCTTTGCTTATGAGCTTGCCACAGATGAGGAACTTAGGCTTTGAACTCAGGCTGACACCTCAACATGCTTATCTGACATCGGTGCCTCTTGGTATCAAATATTTGGAGTTGAAGGTTGCAGCCAGTACTCATCTTGTCTTGGACTTCCAAGA